GGGGGGGCGGCAAAGGGCACGGGGGTGTCTGGGATGGAGGGTGCACGGGAAATGAGACTGGGAGGGGGAGATGTGTGGCAGAGCGGGGGCGGGCGCTGGGGGACAGGGCGGTGAAAGCTCAGCAGGTAGGTGGTTTCTTGCATCTATGAGATGATGAAAGGGAAACAGCGAAGTAAAGGGCGGTGGTTTCAGGGGTAGCTATTTTCTCCCACCTGCCTGGTTTGTTGAGGTGAGTGAGCTGTAACATCCCCTTCTCTGGGAGATACCAGCAGAAAGACACTTTGCCATGGGATAGGTAAGTTGGTAAAAAGTGTCAGCGGGGTGGCCGTGTTAGTTGGGAGTCTGCAATAGCAATGAGAAGTCTTGTGGCACCTTATAGACTCACAGATTGATTTTAAGCATGAGCTTTCGTGGGGCAAGATGCATCAGGCATCTGACGAAGTGGGTCTTGGCCCACAAAAGCTTATGCTCCAATAAATCTGTGAGTCTATAAGGTGCCGGGACTTCTTGTTGTAAGTTGGTAAAGATACTTGAATGGCAGATCAATAGCATCGCCTGCAGTAGAGCCACACAAATCCCTACAAAAGATCACATTTTGACATTTTCCTCATACCAGCAGTGCACTTTTACTGTGCACTCAAAGCTCCTGTTGCTGTGACAGTTAAACATGCTTAAAGTACCTTTAATTGGCATAGTGTCAAACAGTGGTGACCTTGGTAGGCTTATGTACAGTCGCCTTCTGTCCAGTTCTAATAGTAGTAGAGCTGAGCCACTTTTATCAACAGTTGACATTAAAAACAAAATTGAAGTGCAGACAGCGGCAACAGGGACCAGATTTTGTACAGAGAGGCTCACCTAACTGAGGAATGAAAGAGACAAACTTGTGTGCAAAGGAGAAGCATGTCCATTAAAACTTTTTTTTAAAATAAGGGCAAAGTAGAACTGAATTCTGAAGTGAATGGGAATCTTGGAGGGAGTTTGGAGATGAAATGCACCGCTTTAAATATAAGAGAAGGTGAACTATTGCATCAGTAAGGCAAATTTTGAACATGCAGAAGGGGAGATATGTTTCTAATACTTTTTTAAAAATTTCAA